CCAGGCACCAATAGGCTGATTGAAAGACCATGCATGGGAAAACATATCTTTCATATTCGCGACATTGGAAGTGTCCCAAGTGCCTGCATAGTGTCTGGCGAGCATATGAGATGTGGGCACCTCTTGTTATCTAGGGCGGATATTGTCCGGAGTGGCTCCCATGCACGGCAGCTAAAGCAACAACAAAACATAGACCAACCTAGGCATGTTCAATCGTATTGGATTTGTTTCTCTTTTGAGGATCACCATATATTGGAGGGTCTCTGCATTTCCAACTTTTGTTTTTCAAAGTTCCTCTATGAAGAACGGACAGTGCGAGTCCTTGATTTGGCTTCTTGTTGGCCATGAGAAACAACAAGATATATATAGCAAGTGCTGGTTCACAAAAACAAGCTCCTTGACCGGCAAAAGTTGATGTACTTCATGCTAGTCTTCTTCTTCTCTCTTCTTCTCCCCGTCCCTTCCTCTCTCTTTATAACTCATGTCGCAGGCAGTCTCACTCTCCCTTCTTTTGAGGGAACTGAACGTGCGGTTGTGCGGATCTTCAATTCTTCGTTCGTATGAAAGGCGGCCAAAATCCTGCGCTTTTAGCGTTTAGTGGAAACAACACTCTTCTAAACACCGTATTCAGTGTGTTTTGCCAACGTTATGGCTTCACTACAGCAACAGCATAGTTTCATCCCAACGTCGAACATCCGGTACGGATTTTGGGGTCGATAGGTGTTTCCTTTTGGGGTCGATTTTGGGATGCTGTTTTCATACGGTACACAAGGCTTATCATCAGTTTATTCTAACATGGGAACCTCAAGAAGTTCTTTTCTATTTGGCACTCTTAACATGGAAGTTGTTCAAGAAGATTCCGCTTGTAAGAAACTGAAACTCAGTTCACAATAGTTTGACCTTGCCTTGCCTCACCTCTTTGTGTTGACGAAGTTACAATATGGGTGTGTCTTCGAGTAGGGATTCATTCAGTTCGATCCCCTGGAAGAAAGGAAGTGAACCAAAGCCCATTGGTTGGGGGTCTCTGCATAAACATACACAGCCACATGTTTGAAGGCGGCCGCCCCACCTGCTGGCCCTACGATGAAGCTCTCCGTCCTCTCAGCTCTCTGTTTGTCAAGGCGCCGATGGGCATCTTAAAGGCTTTGGCTCCACGGAACATCGAACTCATGTCCCGCACTTGTGAGGTCTCCCAAGCACTGATGTCCTCGTTGAAACGCTCCAAACCCTCGAAGAGGCCACTCCTGAACTCCATTTCATGGATTCTTTTTTGTGGTTTCAAGTTTCAAGTGACCTTCTTGCAAGTGACGTGTCCTAGCAATCCTATTACTTGTTACAGTACTAGTCCTTCTGTTAATCCTGGAATCTCCTGATCACGCTCTGCAAGACATCATCGTGATGCCAAAAATTGTTCCATGCTGCTTCCATGCAATAGAGTACCTGTGTCAGATTGATTTTCTCTTCAATGAAGGCTGTCTGCTTTTGCTTTTGTTCCTTCGTGGCTCATGGTTAGCAAGTCGTGAGCGTAGGAGTGTGACCCCAAGCTGATGACTTCCAGGGTGGCCCGACCAAGACCCAAGCGCAATGGTTTAGGGGGATTAAACCCCAAAAGAGAAGAGAAGATGTGATACAACTCGGTACGAGAAGATGTTTTACCATGATTTACCCAACAACCTAGGATCATTGATGTCAAAATCTGCTTGGGGCGGAAAGTCTATGGCTCTGCCCGAGGCTCATATTGGTGATGGAGGAGACATTCCATTCACCAGGTGCTCCCCATAATGACGTCAGCTGCATCCTGGTAGCCTCGTCTGCATCATGCCACCTGAGATGTTCCAACTTGTGGCACTGAGGCTGTTATTCCACTGTGGAGCTCTAATCTTAAACCCTGCAAAGATTGATGGGTAAGGACTACTAGCCTACCCGAGAATTCAGCCTCAGTGTCCATCTTGAAGAGTGTCAACATTGGATATGTTGCAACTGCTTGCCACCATTGGTAGAAAGGCCGAGTGGCTGAACCAGGGCTTCTCTCAACTCTGCCCGCGTAGAGAAGCCGTGCGCGGAAATCAGCAGGAATGGAACCACGACCGCCCAAGCCATGGAGGTATCCAGTGGGGTGAGACTTGTGACGAAAGCTGAAGCCAGGAACCGAGGCCATCGGTCATGAGACATGTGGGGTTCCTGTGGGCCAGTTCTCCTCCCTGCTTGATGGAAGACCTATGAACATCATTATAGCTTATAAGCGTCTTCGAATTATCTCACGGCCCCATCTGGATAATACATGGTGGTGCGTTCATTCTTGAAGGTCCCTCCACCATAGCGGTTTCGGGCGGCAAAATGATCCGCAAAAGAAACTGTCACGCCAGAAAACGTCGGCAAGCGACGCGTGGTAGTCCAAAGACGCGTGGTCCTTGGAGTTTGTGTAGTCCAAGCCCTGCAAGGTCAGGAGCACATTCAACGTTTGGGCATCTGCTTCCTGCCGATCACGTGGTCCGAGTATGGGACGCGGCTGAAAGCAGCCACCGCTTTGGTCCGTTTTATTTTATTTGCGAGTTTATAAGGTTTTTTGGGGCATGTCTCAAAGAGAGAATCCTACATCTTGTCCCACAAGAGTTGCAAGGATCTATGTATATATATATATATATACTCGTTTTGAGACAAAACTGTAGTCTGTTCTCCTGAAACCAACAAGAGAGTATGCAATTTCCGTTCGTATCCATGCTTTTCAAAAGTCGTTTTTCCTAAACATGAGTTGCAGGAGTCTGCACCACTGTCAGAACTCTTCGCACAAACCCACTATCTGCAATTGTGAATCTGCCACTTTGGCATTTGTATGTTGTGTATATACATATGTACACACACATAAATCAATATACTAAATGCTTTTTTGGTTGGGAGGAAGTGCATCTGAGCTCAGTTTCCAGGTGATGGCCTAAGGCTTTCTGTGTTTCACTATCCTCCAGACGGTCAAACCACGAGCACCCCAAATTTTGTTCGATGACTTCCCATGAAGACTGCAACAAGAACGTCCAGCCCCAATTCGACCTCAGAACTCTGATGGACTGATCAACCCCCTGTTGGACGACAAAAAACGTTGAAAGACCAAACAGAACACAGTGGTTTAGCAGCAAACTGGCCTTGTTCTCGTGCCACGCTGCATCAGTGTAGTTAGTGGTCGACTTTCTTGGTGAACTGCAAGGCTCCTGTCATTAAGAACACGTGTGCTCTCTCGGTTTTCCTGCCACAAAGCATACAAACAGATCCTTGGCCTAAACAACCCACGCCCCCACCCGCACCTGCACCGCGCCTCCCGGGAGATCTTCCGGTTCGCGAGCACCACGATCCGCCGCGCGGTCTGCACCTCGGTGCATCAATCGTCTTGGGTGGATGGGCGGGTGGTGGGATGATGCTTCAATGGCACAGGTGTCCCACTTCGGTGATTTTCTGTGGCACTGCCTTCTGCCGCTTCCGTTGAAAGCTGGAAATCGTTAAAAGTACCTGGATCAAGCACTCGCGCCACCAGAAAACATGTAAACAACTGCTGGAGGAGAGGCCTTCCTCACGTCAACCCAGCGGCGCTGGAGGAAGCGTGGGTCAAACTGCGTGTCAGAAAGACAAAATATATACTTCATAATTTGTTGCAACATCTTAGAGTTCCATTCTGCACTTTTGCTTGGAGTTCCCTGAGCATCCTGTTGCATCCTTTTATCTTGGGTATCTCCCACAAGGTCTTCTGGGTCTCAGTCTCCTCTATTATCTCTATTCCAAACAACCGGGTCTTCCGTTGAGGTGAGGGATTCCGTCTCAGTCTCCCGGCAGCCACTCGCGTCAAGTCCTGGAAGAACGGCCGCTCCGCACAGTTTGGGACCATCCCACCGATTACAGGCGACAGTGTGACTACAGGCAAACGAACCAACCGGGGTAGGAGTGCATCATCCGGAAATCTCACGAAACACGAAGCACTTGAAACACGAAGCTCCTGCGTGCTGGCAGGCCTATGGTCGAAATGGTCGAAATGGTCAAACCCATCAGAGAGCGAATTCCAAATTCCTCACGCAAATCACGTTAAATCATTTCTGCTTGGAGTGGCTCACTCCATGTCGGAGTTCGCCACCTCTGGGCAAATTGGAGTTAGACTTCCTTCTGTCAACTCACAGTCTTGGTCCCATGCTTCTCACAGCCACGGTCTGACAAGAGGAAGAATACCCAACTCCCGCGACTCCAGAAGAGTTCGCCCTGCCGGAGTCCAGCCAAGCAGAACCACAGCCCCTCCTCTTCATTGTAGGGAAGCCCCGACCGGACCACCACCGAGGAGTTGCGCCTCGGATTGGCTTGGCCATCCGCAGAATCAGCCTGAATGTGGAGCCACACTGGATGGAATGGGCTCATCTTCCTGGGTAGAACCATGAAGGAGGCACTTCGCATTAGAAACTTTCTTGCTTAAAGCCGCTCCTCACTCATGTGCTTCTACATGTTCCATGACTGCTATAAACCATCCATGTCCACTGAGCCCTGAAAAAACGACCTGGAAAAACCTCCGTCGTCGAGAACACATACTCAGAAAATCGTGCACATCGAGAATTTCACAGAATTTCGATGTGGACCAAGGTGCAGGTCGATGTCGGCATGTTGGATCCAACTTTCGACTTCTGCCTTCCCCTGATAGAAACGTTGAGGGCTGCCGAGCTGTGGTGGAGTGGAGGTCAGGCAAGGGAAAACATCAAATCAATTGGAAGGATGACTGGATGACGTTCATGCGAAAGGACATGTCTTTGTAATTACAGTAAACGGAACAGCTGCAAAACCGGGTGGAATTTCTGGGATGCGATCAGGATAATTCGGGCATGTCCCCCAGATTTCCTCAGTCCATATTCATCTGCTCAACTTCGTTCCAGCAACTACAACAGTATCACTGTATCCCGTTTGGCTCATGGGAACACATAACACCAGTCGCTGGTGACACGAGCATCCACCTGCCTCTGTGGAGAGAATGGCGATGAGCCCTCCGCCGGAGGTCTCCATGGCGCAGCAAAGCTCCTCGACTCAAACGCATGGCGCCGCAAAGCCATCTCGGTCCACTGAGCTGTGACACCACCAGCCCTTCACACACAGAGAGGATTGACGTGGGACTGGATATGAGCCCAAAACCTCTCACAAGGATCATGCCAAGGCATTTGGCACGACACAAATCTGTGTGAGGCGTATTACAATGTACTTACATGACAATCTTACGGATGTCTGGTGTTGGAGAGAGCCGTTTTTCCGGGTCCTCGATCATCCAAATGGCCGAACGCTCATAGCCCAGGATCACAATGTGATCGCCTCAAACCCAGTTTGCTAAAATTAATGCGACGTGCGGCACCAGAAAATACTGGTGACGTGGCGTCAAAAACGGGTGGCCGCACAGGCCGTGTGGCAGGTTCGCAGAGTGGAGAATGCCACCTTGCAAACTCAAAGCCCAAAGAACAAACACACGGGCAGGGCATGAGTTGCAGTCTCCATACTCAAAACAAGAGGACATCTTCAAAGACTACTGGTCTGGTACAGTAAGTAATAGGAATGTTCTACACTCATCCCTTCGTGACTCACAGAATCTTCCATTTTCTTTTCTACTCCACACCTGGTCCACCGGCGAACCCGGTCGTCCACCGTCGTGCCTTCGACGACGGGGATGGAGCCATGGCGAATCTGCCAAAGGAAGTCTTCGAAGGCCGAAGTGATCAACGACAAGAGCAGAGCGAAGATCAGCATTCCACCTGAGGCCACCGAGCGGCTTTGGGAAGAACGACTGTGCTTGGCTTGGCAGGGCTGAGTTTGACAGGTTGAGAGATCGAAACGGTACGGATTAGATGGATGGAACATGGCCCGGCACAACAAATAAGCAGCATTTGTACCCCTCTGGTCAATTTCTATGAGTCGAACGTTCCCCCAATATCAAACATTCCATAGCACTTTAGACTCTTTGAGTAGATGGGTGTGTTTGGTAATGTCAAGGGATTAACTTGGATGAATCATCATTGGCTCTGCCAAGAGCAGCATCTTGCCTCGCATCGTCTTTCTTGGCAAACTGTCTATGGTGACGCGGGGTGGCGGGGTGATTGGGAACTTTTCCAACAAATTCAAAGAACGGAGTCGTTGCGCAACATGAAGCAGGAATTCCCACAGCTTCCCATCTGATCCTTGTTTACCTGGCATCTTCCACCAAAGAGAAAAGGACCAGCGCCTACTTTGTCGTTGGTCCAAGCAACCCCACACAGTACCAACTTTTGCTTTTCTACCGTAAAAAAGGTAATACAAGTTTCCTTTCCAACTGCCCATCAAATCTCACCAAATCCTTTAAAGATTCATCAAATCTCTTAGATTCTCAGAACTCCATTAGATTTGCGCCCCTCCCGCCACTGCACACCTCACCCGTTTGTTGGTGCGTCGCCCGCCCCGCACCGTCTGTCCTTTCGGACCGAGGGGCCGATGGAGACCACGACGCCCACGGCGTGGCCGCCGGGGAGCGCCGACTCGCCGCCGTCGGGGTCGGCGATCCAAATCCACGAGCGCCACAGCGACTCCTCGCAGCGGTCCGCGGAGGGGGAAGGTGGAGAACCGGAGGGACAACTGGGAGGTGTGGTGGTTCTTGGAGACTGGCAAGAGGTGGGCAGCACAGGTGTGGTGCTGGCTGATTGGTGGCTTTTTCTGGATCAAGAAGATAGACCCAAGTATGTAGGAAGACCAAGTAGGTGGGGAAAGGGCAGGAAAAGGAGTGGCGGTGAATGTTTAGTGGCCGTTCTGTCGATGTAACCTGTTCACAACCTCATGACCACCACCCCCTCCTCGACCGTGAAAAACATCATTGTCATTCATTTACCCTTTCTTTGTAGAAGCACCCCAGAACAACTACCGATCTTTAATATCAAAACCTTACCCGGTCAGGCACTCCTGGATCGATGCCTGAGACAAAGCGCTATGGCCGATGCCACCCACCACCTGCGATGAAAGCACTTGCACCGCGCGTGTCGCGCGAACGCGCAATGGAACGCTTGCGGCCGGGAAGGGCACAATGGAAGCTTTGGAAGCAGTTCTAGAGAGAACAAACACTTTGTGTTGCTTCTTGCAGTTGATGAGAATAAAGTAGCCAGGTAAAAGACTAGGAAGGCCATCCCATTCTCTAGTGGACACCAATAAGACTGCTCGTGAATCATGAACAAGAATGCTGCAGGAAAAGGAAACCGGGTCTCCCCAGCTGCACCTCCTAACCGCTAAGAAGCTGTTTTTAAGGTCTCTTTGATCATCTGCTCCTTTCTGTCTTGGTGCAAAAGGCAGTGACAGTCTTGCAAGAAGATGCCAAACAATGCTGACAACATGGGTTTCCAGCCAATGAGCCACGATTGGAGGTCATTAGCTTGTGCATTCGTCACCTCTTCGGTGCTTCGATGTTACATACCATCTGCCACTGCGTAGTTGGCGGGAAACTTCAGTTCATCACTCCTTTGCCGCAGTGAAGCTATCTTAATTCAAAACACGAAAGAGATGACGAACACCTCTCATACTAAACCCAACTGTCCTGCAGACTGACACCCCGACATGTACAAGCCCTGGACGTCGAGTGAGATGAAAACTGCTCGGGTAGCTACTGGTACTGTGAGTTAACAAGCTCAGTTGCCCCCCGCAAGCTGCCCAGAACTTCTATTGTCTATCACTTCTTTTGCTTTCCAAGAAAGTAGGCTGGACGCCAGAACCATTGATCTCGGCTACGCACTCGCCATCAAGCAAACAAGGATAACTGCCGAAACCTGGTCAAAGGTGGAGCCTTTCTCAGCCAGACCACGGGATACGTTTCCCCATTGGTACTTGCCACGGATAATCCAGTCATCCATAGTCATCCCCACTTTTCTGTCATCTGCCATCCAAGGTGCCAACAACGTCGCTGACAGGACGAGGAGAACCTTCACCTGCGAAGATTCAATTCCAGCTCTACTGGACGCACACAGTTGACATTTAGGGATACTCTTTTATGGTCTGAACATGTCTCAACACGTTCAGATTTGAGTTGGTCCAAACAAGCAGGTTTGTTTGATCAAATTCTGGCTTGTTTGAACCAACACCAGCACCAAAGCGACTGTCCAAAGCTTCCCTCCGCCCATGCAGCTAATTGGAAGCTCCGAGCAAATCCTGAAAAAAACCTTTTGAGACAACATCAATGGGAATAAGTGCGGTCAAAATCCTTATTTGAGCACTCATTTCCGATTGAAAGCTGCCAGCTCCCAGCTTTGCTGCGGCCCAGTAGCAGATGCTGCCTGGGTCCACGCATACCAATGTCCAAATCTATACCTAGCAGTCGCAGGGGTCTCAAACGCTCCGCTCCGCCAACTGCTGACTAGCTCAACTTGATGGCTGACGATTGTTGGTCAAAAAGCCGAAGCTCTGATGCACTTTGAAACAATTCCCCATGCTCTTTTCTTCCGGCGGCATCTGCGGCATATGTCGGAATAAGACCTCCTAAGTGATCCCGATTCCTGTGCTGGGGGTCACCCGAGGTGAGAAAACATGAGGCCGAGGACGGTGTTGGGCTTCGGCCAGTGGAGATTTGTTCTGTTTGATTTTCAGAGTGGCCATCACCGACTTCGACTTCTTCGACTTTCGCTTTTCCAGAGTTGTGTGAACTGCCTGGAGACATCGCAGACATGACGCTTCGTTTCATTCGACTCACAGGTTTACCGAGTGGCGTGAGATACATCACAAAGCCTCGGAGGGAGGCGACAGAACGCATGCGATTAGCGCCCAGGGTTGGGGTAATGACCCTGCACATGGCTACCCCTTCAGTCGAACATGGCCAATAGAATCCACCGGGATGCTTTGACAGTAATGTATGAAACTTGAAAAGGCACGAACATCATTATAATGGCGATATAGTATGACAGCCTGGATAATCTCCATCTGATGAAAAGCCGACCGTAACCTTCACCACAAAAAACTATAATTACTCATAAAGAGGCAGTGGTGCTTTCATATCAACAGTATTCAATAGTTTTGCTGGGTGACCTAGGATTTGTCCATCAATGTAAATTGTTTGTCCGGTTGCCGCTTGCCCAAGGTTTGCCCTTGCTAGTCGGTGAGACAAACCACAACATCTGCAACATCTCTGCCTCCCGCCGAATCGGGGAACCAACCGTTCCAAACAGCCGAGTCTCGACTCAAGTCTTGGCGAAACCTCCAGCCTTATGTCTACCTGTAACTCGTCTTGACCCCAGCAACTTGCTGAGCAAATCCCCACTGCACCACCAAACCGCCGCGGTGCTCGCCACCGGCGCCAGTGTTCGCAATGCCTCCACGTCACCGGCTTGGTGGGCTGCCTGTGTTTGCTGAAAGCGATGCCGCTCCAGCCAAATGATGTGGGCGATGTGGTACCTCAAAAAAATACTAGTGGGCAAGGTGTGGCGACTCTCGCACACTAAGGGCGAGTGGTGTGGCGTTCGGGCCAGGCATGGAAGATCCGAGGCTTCTGCTCTGGTGAGGTATTCTTCTCTTTGAATCAAACACGGTTGGTGAAGTTTTGCTCAGTGTGAAGCAGGGTGACAAGGAGTTGGTGTCTTCTTTGGCTGTGAACGTATGTGGGAATCCAATCCACCAAACTAACCAAACTTGAATCAGGTGCAACACTTATTGGAGTGGAGTGAAACCTCGCTTAGACATGCTGAACAAATGCTTGCACACCCAAAAGCCACCATATGCCACCATACAAACCTACCAAGTTCAAGCACAACAATCTGGCGGGGAGCACACGCAGGGAAGGGGTCTGGCTGGTTCCGAGCACCATTCAGCAGTCTTGGGCCTTTTTTGAATTCAGGGTAGTGTTAGAGCATCCGCCAGGCAGTTGTCCCAGTGTCCTTCAGGCCAAGTTTGCTGTTGGCGGAGCCTTAAACAAACAATAAACCCCTGAAGGAAAACATCTTGTGCCATCTCAAAAACGGAGATCCCACTGTTTGTCAATGCTTTGACGTGCTTTGTGTTTACCAGGTGGTGCCAAGTGCCTTACATCAAATGGTTTTCTGGCAAACATTCCTCTTGGTTTCAGCCACGGGGTGACGCTATCAGAAAGGGTCTTCAACGAGTCTTCCAAGATTCTAAGAGAAAGGTTCCCTCCACCGCCTGTCTCGTTTTGATCTGCTGGATCGGTCGCTAGGTCGTAGCTGTCAGCTGCTGCCAGGTAGCAAGACCACCATCCAAATCCCGAGGAAGATGTAGGCAGAGACTCCTCAGGCTGAACATATCGTGTTTATTTTGTTACACCCAGAGGTGCACGGGAGGTCATTTTGGCACCGTGGATTGTTTCGGGTCTTGGTCGTTGTTCCAATTTCTCTTCGAGGGCCCCTGATCGAAGTGGAGTGTTGCTGGTGTAGTAAGGAATCTTATGTAATCTTGCCCATGGAACATCAGATCGAACTTCCGAGGACTTCCCCGAGAATGCCGATTTCATCCGATGTCTATAAAGCCACCGCGCATCTCGCAATGGGGATGGCCCGGCGGGATCGGTGGGCCGGTCTTAACATGATTGTGTATTTTGATAGGGAGACACCCAACCAATGGGATCTGGGTCTATTTTGCTTCTTCCAAGGGATCTTTGGGAGGTCTCTTTTCATATACACCCATATGATTGTTGGTCGTTTTGCGAAAAAGTCTACGCGGTCACTGCGATCAAGTCACCGATGCCCTCATCCCTCAGCGTTTCTGCAAAGCTGCGCGCTAGGGGTATCTCACAAACAGTTCCCGACAGAATCAGAAGATACAAAACCAAAACAACTTGTAAACATGACCGGGTGCACTATTACTCTTTGGGTGTTTCCATATGCCCTCATCACCGCGACAGTCGGTGAATTAGTATAAATATAACTATGTCTATATAAAGGTTCCCATCCCATCATCCACTGGAATTCTTGAAAAAACACACCATTCAGTATACAATCAGGGTGTACAATCATAATCATCCACCAACCAGGGTAATCATTGTAGCATTGGAGCCCTGGTTGTATTTCACTGATTGTATACAATCAGGGTGTACATTTGTGTGTAAAAACTATGTTTTGATCCATGTCTTGCCATGTCTTGGACCAAGGCCTGACAGCGCCCTGCACATTCCATCAGATGATGTGGCTGTCCAGTAGCCCGCCACTGACTGGCAACTGCTGCTAATGACAACCGCCCAAAAGGAGGGGTGTGATTCTGTCCATTGATCCCCTTGTATACTTGAACTAGATGGTGCAAAGGAATATTTATGCGGTTTTTTAGACCTGGTTGGATGTGCTTGGTATGGCGGTTCGATTGGGGCTCTACTGGGATTGGATCTCTTGTCCCCAATTCTCCGGGACCGCCGCCCACTTGGTTTGGCGGCGCGCGCGTTGTAGAGGTGCACCCCAACTAGGAGCTTCCAATAGCTTCTACAACGGAGCTGACCCTTACAATTTACAGAACCTGGTCTCCACCCACTCTAATTACTCTAGTTAGAACCACTTTGCCAATGTAGATTGAAGGAATTCAGTGCAAGAAGTAAACTCCCGCAAACAACCACACAGTTCCAGTGAACCTCACGGGTGTGGTCGTCTCCCCGTTCTCAGACTTTGAGTCGCCTCCGCGTGGATCCGGCGGATGCTCCCAGCAAAGGGGAGGTGGCTGTCTGGTAGCCCACCCCGTTGGATCATCAAATTATCCCGGCAAGAAAGTGTAGAGGTGTAGAGACCTAGACGCAGAAAGTCTAGAGATCTAGACGCATCGGGGTCCAGAGAGGTGATGGTGGTGATGAAGGTGGAGGTCGTGGTGATGGTGGCGGTGGAGTGAGAGTGAGAGTGAGCGTGAGCGTGAGAGTGTGAGTGAGTGTGAGATTGAGAGTGAGTGTGATTGTGAGTGCGAGTGTGAATGTGTGTGTGTGTGTGCGTGAGAGTGAGAGAGTGAGAGTGAGAGAGTGAGAGAGTGAGCGAGCGAGAGTGAGAGAGTGAGAGTGAGTGTGAGCATCTGAGAGCACAAAGTGTTGCGCCTGCCACGAAAAAGAGCACCGAGGGTGAAGAAGCAGCCAGCGACAAATTTGAAAGCCAAGCGCAGCGGGAAGGCAAAGGCCAAGGCTATGTCCAATCGACCTGCCAAGCATGGGGTGCAGAACAAGGAGAAAAGGGGAAAAGGAAAGGCATCACCTACGCGCAAGCCAGCTGCAAGCAAAACATAGATTTGGAAAAGAAGTTTCATTGTGCACCTCGCTGGCAAGTTATGCACCAAGTTTAGTGTGAGCATGTCTGAGTTGTTGGTCCGTCTTGGTTCTACTTAACTTGCAGCTTCGCTCTGTTTGCCGAGGTGTATTCCACTGCATGGCGCGCCGCGAAGGTGGCGGGCAAAACAAAAGAAGAGCAGCCCGCCGCTGATCAAGTGGCGCGTGAAAAGCAACTTGGTGAAGACTACGTAGTTCCTCGTCTGGTGATGCCAGGTCTGCTACAAGACTGTGGAAGTCTTGATGTTCATCAAACTGAGTCTTCAAGTGCTTCTGAGGATCCATAAGGATGCAAATTGTATTTTAGTCAAAGGAAGTTTAGTGTGCAAAACTTCCGTGTTACGGACATTCAACAGCTGTTCAACCACCACTCATCATACACCACTCATCATACACCACTCATCATACACCA